AAGGGTGTTTTAGATAGTTTTGTTAGTATCCGTAGGCATGATTCTGTCTTTGATTCATGAGGTGTTAGATTCGCCATCTCTTTGTCTCCTTTGCAATGGGTTAAAGCCCCACGTTGACGAGCGTGCATCCGTTCACATTGTACACAGAATAAACAATGATGCTATGCAGATGCTGACGGCCTGATCAGCAGGTAGGAGATGCAGGGAAAATTCTAGCTACCTTCAGCCGTCTCCCTCCCAGCAATTAACACTGACTAAAACTGTCATTATTATTGCTCATCATATCATGTTGACGTTTTACATTCTTTTTCCTCTTTGGCCAAATGATTTGAGTTTCCTTTGGAAAATTGAAAAGGGAAAGAAACGTAAAGCATTTGATTTGGGTTCAGACTGGCCGTGATGCATGGTTTTTCTTTATTTGGATGATGACTGCTATTAGAATTCTTCTTGCTGACATTTTTTCTTTCTGAAGATGTAAAGGGATGCACTCATTCTGGCAGACTGGAAAAGGCGATAAAGAATCTGAACTCCACTGCTTAAAGCATATTCAAATGACTCCCAAGTGTTGCAAATTTAGCACTCTCATGATAGATTAGATCTGTTTTGAGTCAATTTCTCCAAATCTTAGGACGACCAGCTAGTACTTGATCAGTACATTTATCAAGACTTGAATACCTCAATCCAAACAGAAGATATTATGGCTATTTTCTTTTTTTATTTCCTTAAAAAAAACAAAAACAATAGTGATCTCCCTAGCTACTACCTGTCGGCAAACATCTTATCAACTAGACTGAATTTCGTTGTTATAGTAATTTTTAATATGAAAGTCTAGAATTTTAATGGGATGTGTTCCTAATTAAGTTTCAAAATACTTACCTTCTTCTCAAATAGCTAAGCAAATTTTGGTACAAAATGAAATATTCTTTGGGACATGTTGACATTGATGGTTCAATCTCTCATTCCTTTTCTTTCTGTTTTAATTACCACATTAGAGAATCAGAGGTAAAATCAGGTACTAATGATAACTCAGGAGCGATGAATGTTGGGAACAGAGAATGCACACGGGAGAACACTATCATCATATTTGTTTACCACACAAACAATCATAAGGGGATTGACCCTCTGAACAGGTTGATGTAAAACCAAGCGAGGAACAACATCACCGGTCTCATGAGTTCTTTCTCGTGCTTCTCCACGGCATCGATCACAAGAATCTACTCGGCTACCAGCCATGAAAGTTCATTCTTCCTAAACATAGCTCAGTTTTATTTCTCAACAGGCGATTATAGATCCCAATTTTTTTTTTTTTAAGAAAAATAAGAAGTAATATAGTAGAAGAATTTTTTCTAACAAAACCAAACCCATCTTAAATTTATAAATATAATTAGATTAATCTTTACAGCACGGTCAATCTAAGAATTTTTTTTACACGATGCATGTAACATGTGCAAAAGTTATAATTTAAAATTTGGAGGAAGATTATGCTGCAGGAAAGATTAATCCAAGGTTGTATAAGATGATGCTCTTGTACATCTGGGTAGTTGCATTGACCTTATAGAATCAAACGCTAATAATTTCTTTTAAGAAAAAGTTCATTTTGATGCTACCAACAAGTGAGTCTTTCTCCGGCAAAAGCAAATAACTTTTCAACTATTCGTATGTTCTTGTCACGTATAAATGCTTCATATGCGAACAGAGTAAGGAAGTAAAGTCCACAAATCTTCCAAGTAAGTTACTCATGCATTCATTGTATCATATTATATTACTACAAATAAAGCAATCCTGCTTTAGGAGATAGAGCTCATGTGATTAATGAAGATGACCAGTGATAGGACTTAAAGTTGTACGTAAAAGGCTTAAAAAGGTATCATGCTTTCTGACAAATCTCTGAACTCTTCCCCACAGAGTGGCAGCCCGGCTAGTATTTTATTTTTATTCCCTTCTCTCTTCATTCCATCTTTTAAACCTTTTGATCATCGATAACGCTTTCTCTTGAGCAATCGTCCGGACAATGGAGTTCAGAATGTCCAAATTAGTTGGTTGATTTTCACGCATTGTTGAAAAGAAAAAAGAAAATTACGCTTTCTCTTGGTTTTCTTCACTTTGAGTTGGACAATGTTGGCAATCGGCTCTGTCTGTCTCCAAATATCAAATCTTCGCCAAATGGTCTTTTAAAGCTGTGGGGCTTTTTAAATGATTTATAGAGATGGGGGCAAGTCTAATGACATGAATCGAATAAACTAGGGCATTAATGTTCATGTGTTGGAATCCGTCAGAAATAAGGTGAAGATGTCTCATTTAACTTTAAAAAATATGTCTTTGCATTTAAGAACTAGTGTTTTAAATTTAGATGGAAATTAATTGTCGTCCTTCGGGAAAAAAGAACAAAAAACTAAATAACCGACCGACTCAATTTAGATTGAATATCGGTAAAACATATTTCCAAAAAATTGAAATTTTAATTTCCAAATTCTCAATTACCGACCGAATTATCGAATTTCACATTTTAGTAAAACACACGTTTCATATATTGCATACCTACCAATATATCATATTACATATTGATCTATATGTGAATAGTGTTATAAGTTAGATTTCGTGCTTTTACACAAAGCTTAAATGAGTATTAATTAAGTAATTAATAACTTCTACAATGCCAATTACACATTAAATATTCTAACTAATCTCTATTAGAAAATTGTATTTTAAAATTTTGGATATCACCTATTCTTCTGAAATTCAATTATTAATATCCACATTACCAAATAAAAAATTTGGAATGGTGATTGGATGTTAGTCTTGTAGAGAAAAACTAAACTTTTTATGTTCAAATTATTGATTATAGGCTATAGAACACCCTTACCCATTAATGGATACATTGTCAATTTAGAAAAGATAAATCCCTTATTGCTTGTGCAAAATAACGTTGTCAGCTCCAACCTTTAAAATGGTACTAGTATTCTTCACTAAAGATAAAGAATGCATATGGCAAGCCTTTATTTAATTTGGACCCCTAGACGTTTCACTTATTTTTGGACCCAAGGCGTCAGCCAGCCCAAGCCGAAGATTTTCTGTCACCCACTCTCTCTTGTGCTTCTACAATGCAAAAACCCTCTGAATTCTCTCACTTTCATAGGCCCAAACTTCAAGCAATCATTAAATGCCCTCTACGCTTGAGTCCAATCTTCAATGGAAAAATATTTGGTCCATCATTGATACAGCGAGGCACTCTAAAATACTCCAAAAATAATTCAAATATACAAAATCACAGAAATAAAAAAAATAATAAATATAGCAATTCCTACCACTTACTTTCTCCTTCCACCTACCACACACCACCACTCACTGTCATTGCCCCTCCTACCCTCCTTGCTCCTTTGCATACCACCACCGTCCCTTTTCCCTTCCTTCTCCTCCTCCTCCCTTTTTTCTCCTCCTCTCTCTTCCTTTTTCTTCCTTCCCCTTCTTTCTTCTCTTCCCTCCTTCCTTTACCTCTCTTCCTCTTCCTTGGCAACTCCCCTTACAACTGGAGGAGAAAGGAAAAAGAGGGAGGGGCAATGGTGACTATGGAGGAGAGAGGAAGACGGAGAGAAGAGGGAGCGGTAGTGGTAATGGAGAGTTAACAAATTTTTAAAAATATCTCAAAAAATTTTAAATTTCAAAAACGCCTAAAAATATATCTCGAAAAACACTAGATATATACGAACTATCTGTAGTGATAAGTTTTTAAAATACAATGTTATAGTAAAATTTTGCAAAAATTTCCAAAAACACCTAATCCATATGATGGTAAGTATTTGAAATACAATGCTATAGTAAAATTGTCTTGTGTGGGATATGCATCACTTTTACATGGGTGAGCTCTTCTTCGGTAGGGTTTCTCCCCAATTTCCCTTAATGCACATTTAGAGAAAAGTCTATAGTTCCTTTAAGGAATCATTCCCTTAATTTCTATTTCTTAATAATAGTAATACTTTAAATTAAAAAAAATAAAGTTCAAACAATTTAAGAGTCTAAAAAATTAATTTCATCATGCAATGGTGAATTTAACTTGAGAGTATGATATCCAAAAGTGATTATAGATACTCCCCACATTTAGATGCTTGACAGTTGACACATGTATTTATAAAATACCAAGGGTTGAAATCGATTATAGCTAATGATGGTCTTAACTTTAGTTAAATCTAGTCAAACTTCCTAATTCAGATCTCAATAATTTTCTTACCAATTTGCTACACAAAAATCTTATCACACCACAACCACTGATTGCACCTAATAATCATGACGTAAAGAAAAAAAAAATTAAAAGAATTCGTGTTAGTGCACTGTGAAAATTAAATAGAGAAGGTGCATAATTTTTTTTACTCGCAATCACACACCAATGATTGAGACTAGTAAGAGGTGGGATATTCGCGGTATTAGAATGCATCGATCAAAGTATGATTAAATGGTGATGGTGGCAAGACCATTGTTGATTATCTTGCAGGTAGAGTTGAGCCTAATCGTTCATCAGCATTCTTGCCAATACATCGCAGGAAGGAAATGAATTGCAAATTGGATTTCCTCCACGCAAGAAGGTGATGGGCTATTAGCACCTGAAAGCCAAGTTCGAAGAACATATGATGTTATCCACCCTGTATGCACATAGAAATTTGAAATGATTGCAACAAAATAGAAGAAGATGGCTAATTCAAAAAATCTTCAACAATTTACAAGCAATTTTAGAACCGTATCAATTGGTAAATCCAATTGCTAGTTGACTGGATATCTTGACAGAGTCAAATGAATTTCAGACCTAGACTGTCCCCGTCCCTTTCGTGATGCATATTACACTTCTGCATTTACCTCTTGGTATAATTTGGAATAACTTTTTCCGCAGCTTGAAATTGGCGAAATTGTAAACAGCTCTCGTACGGTACTTTTCTTGCTAGTGTTACAAGCCAATGGGTATCATCACTCTGTTTTGCATTGAGCCAAAATTCTTCAGGAATATGCCATCTTCACAAGGGAAGTGATGAGTTGGTTCTTGAACTTTGCCTGGATAAAAATGACCTCCCAGCATATGAAAACGATCTCTTCATCCTAACAGGTCCCATATGCAGAAATTGTGTAATTGAAGAACTCCCATTGCTAATCCTAGGCGTCCTAGAATTTTCACCGACGACGTTCTCTCCGGAAACATGGTCTGCCTCAACATCTTGATCCACTGGGGTATCCTCAAATTCAGCCAACCGCATGTTAGCAACAGCACCATTGATATTTGCAGCCAACAAAGAATCCACTGAAACAGACCTTCTCATTGGTTGCATCTCAAATTTCCCTCCCTCCATCATCGATTTATCGTGTGAATCATCAGTTACCCAAAATTTTGCAGCTTCCACAACCCGTCCATCCTGATGAACCTCTGGAAATTCAGTGATTTCCCCTGTAGGACCTCCCCCGTTTTCACGAAATTCATTTTCCCTTGCATGATTAGTACTCAATTCTTCATCATCTTCCGGATTCTCCACCTGGGAAGCTTCACCCGGGCGCATGTTATGAGAATTAATCCCAACTGAAGCCACCACAGGAGTAGCTGCGGCACTGGAAACAATACCAGCACGACAAACGGGACAATTTGTGTGAGACCTCAACCAGGCATCGATGCAAGAAACGTGAAAGGCATGGCTACATTTTGGTAACAACCTAAGAGTTTCATCATCTCGAAACTCATTCAAACAAACCGAGCACTCAGTCCCTTCGATGAAGTTATCACCTTTCTTGTACCTGAAAATCGTGATAGCTTCAATAACTGATGGCTGTAGACCAATCGTGTTTATGTACCAAATGGGATGATCAATGCCCGGGCCACGATTTTCATCCAGGAACTCTTCATCAGCAGCTCCTCGCTGCTGTTGCCGCGGCCTAGAACGATTACATGCCAAGAAATACTTGACCACTATAAAATAGTAGCAGACAAGAAGGAAGCAGCTAGCAAACGACGTTCCTAAGACTATGACAAGAGGGGAAACGTGATGGCCTTGTTTAGCTGACGAATTGTGAGCTATTGGTGGTGGCACCGTTGCCGGAGGAGGCATTGAGTTTGTTGTATAAGGATAGCAACCCTCCTGGCATGTTGAACCGCAAATCTCTGGACAAGAAATGGTGTCGTTACCTTTCGTAAATGGATGTAATTTTCTGTGCCTCATATCAGTGCTGTGTGGGGGAAGAAATCAGGGTAGAAGATAGGAAGGGACTGAGGGAGACGAGGAATATTATTATTGTTTTGGTCAGTTGATTTTCTTGAACAATGAAGAGGAAATTTGGTTGCATTAGCGTTGAAACGAGGCAGTGTTTTAGACTAAAGAAACTCCGGACTTCGTACTGTAGCTGCCACGTTGTGTTCATAGGTGAAGAAAATAATATGCTAATCTGTTTTCAAGTTCTGGTGGAAGACTTTTCTGTGTTTGAGTTAATTGTATTATTCATCAACTGATGACGGCTCTCTCGTCATTTTCCTTTCTTTCTTTTTTTTTTTTTTTTATTGTTTAGAATGAAGTCTCTGGTCAAATTGGAAATTCTGCAGCTCAAATTGTTAGCCACAGAAAATCACTACTACCAACTACCAACCTGCCATCGTGCAAAACATAGCACGGTTCTGGCCTTTAATTATTTTTCCAATATTCTCACAAGAAGTCATGGCCTCAATCATAGCACTGAGGCTCCAAACGAGCCGAATCGAGTCGAGTTTTGACCTAATCGAGTCGAGACTCGACATAATTTCATTAAACTCGAACTGGAGTTCAAGCTCGACGAGTTGACAATTTGAAGTTCGAGCTCAAACTCGAAAAAAATTTAAAAATAATTATTTTTTTTTATAAAATAATATTTTTTCTTAATAAATAATAAAATATTAAGGATATATATGTAATTTTACTATTAAAATTAAAAAAATATAAAATATATATACTTAAAATAAAAAAATAAAAAATAAAAATATATATATACTCGACGAGCTTAATATTTTGAGCTCGATTTCGACTCGAGCTCAATCCTGCTCATGAGTGGCTCGATTCGTTTGCAACTCTACGTAGCACAATATACTAACGAACCTCTGAAAATTATCACCTGCTCACCCTGTCTGACTGTCTCCCCTTTCTCCACGCATAATAATAATAATAAACCACTCGCCAAGTCAAGTCTATGTATGATGTTGGTGCAAAGAAAACAGCTACATGTACACATGAAAAAAAATTAAAATAAATTTTATATACACTGACGATGTATACACTATCACGGTTGAATATACGACATATATGCAAAATTTAACTTTCGCATTTAAATTTGAATTATGTGTCATGCATTTAATAGTAAAAGTATATGCATTGTCAGTGTATAAAAAATTAATCCAAAAAAAATATGAGTGGCTCTTACAAACTGACTGACTACTGCCTACTGACTACATACAAACAAAAGGATTGTTAGGAGCAAAGCTTAATTTCAATATGTGCACAATGTGTATAAATTTTATCTTTTGAGCCAACTGTTATTAGTGTTATACTCATGGATGCTGCTCTGAACTTTCATGGGATTTATGCAATAACAGTCCTTTTTTCCTAGTTTTTTTTTTTTGGGGTCATTTGTTACGTAGTTGTTGTTCGATGTGGAGAGGTCAGGACTCAGGAGGAGTGATTAAGGTGGGTATTGAGTATTGAACAGTGAGACAGCCCTTTCAACTTTCATGATGTTTGCCTGTTTGGTGATAAGTCCACATCAGATGTAGATTTTACGCAACAATTTGTTTGGTTGGTGAAAATCAAAAAGTTAGTGAGCCTAATCAGGCGGTGAATTATATGTCACGATCCCTTCCCTTCCCTTCCCTTCCCTTCCCTTCCCCCACACACACATGACACAACCCACAAAAAAATATGTGTATATGTCACGAAATGGTCAGTCGGTGGCCGTCGTCGGAATGGACTTTGTATCTTCAATGATTATCCAAATTTCGCTTGATCTATCCTATAGACGGTGTTTGTTCACCTACAACGTTAATGCATCAATGGACGTTTCGTATATGGATTGAGACAGCCTCTTTAGGCTCCCCTCCTTCTAGATTAGAATAGAGTAGGTAAAGGTGGCAAAATGGGCGGGATGGGCGGGATTTGCTTGGGTTTGAGATGGAACCGAGTCATATGGGTTTGGGTCCAACCTTACCCATATGTGTTTTGGGACTAACTTGGGCGGGATCATTTTGGGATGGGTTTAGATTCATCCCGCCCAATACCCAAATTCATTTTCTACATATTTTTTTTCCTTTAATTCATTTTTTATTTTTTATATAATTTTAATATTTTTGATTTATTAAATTTCTTTTAGTTTTATTAAATAAACATGCAAGTGCTTTATACTCAAGATTCCCACCAAAAATTGGATTAACAAATAAAGGAAAAGATAGATATACAGCCATATTCCAACATATATCAAGATGGCCAAGGTCCTTAGGATGTTGAATATTTATCCTCATCATTGTCCAAGGATGACAGGTCTAAACTAACTGAAATGCTGGAAATTCTTGTGGATAATGACTAAGAAGATTACTAGATTATATTCGCTGGTATGACTATAAAAATTGTTAAAGATAATTTTTGAATCTAAGACTCCGTTTGGATTGACTATTTTTTCAAAAAATAAGTTTTTCAAATACAATGTTACAGTAATATACAATAACTCAAGAAACATTCCATCCATATTAGTATATCAAATATTTCAAAAAAATTTTATAGTAAAAATTTTTCATATACACGGCTACAATAAAATATTTCAAAAACACCTACAAAAAACAGCTAATCCAAACGGAGCCCTTGCCATTTGAGCCCAATGGGTACCCAAGTATTTCCCATCCTTTCCCATTCATTAATGGGTATAGTTGGGATGTGTCCCAACTTAAACCCAATACCAAATTATAATACCCATCCCGCCCAAAGTTCCTTTGGGCATGGGTAGCCCATTGGGACTTGGGACAAATTGCCAGCTCTAAGTAGGTTATACAAATGAATCGTAACTGACAAAAAAAAAAAAAAAAGTATATGGATTGAGACATTACCTTACCGAGGAATCCAATTTGCTATCACCCATCTATTTTGGACGTATGTATCTAAAAATATGTATTACTACTTCATTTTTTTTTTTCACTTGCTTGTTTTTCGGATAAGAGGTAGGGGATACTCAAATTGGCATCTAAGTCTGATACTCAGAAAAATTCATTACTCAAATAATTAGCAAGAGAAATGACCAGTTTTCTCTTCTATATATAACAAGTTAAACATCTTATCTTACAATGTATAATGGGGAGAAGTCACTTTTTAGTGTAAACATATAGTCAGAGAATTAAAGATTTAAAGGGGAAAAAAAAACAAATTTTTGGATGCAAAAATAAATTTTCTCAATTTTCAAAATGCTTTTCCTGACCAAAAAAGGCAATATACATGTGTGTGTGCGTGTGTGTGTGTGTATATATATATATATGAAGTAGGCCTCGAGCTGCTCACTCGCTCTGAAATGAAACTCAGCCCAAGCCCAATAGTTCTCCGTGAGTCAATACAGTAACCTTCTGCTATATGCTTAACGACCCACTGGACGGGTCTAAGTATGTCCTTTCTTGGGCCACAATATAGCTGGACCAAGCCTACTACACTCTGTGGAGAAGACATATTCATGCATTGTTTTGACGAAAATATATTCCTATATTTCAAGAATTGCGAGAAATGCAGCATAATTATTTAAATATTTTTGTGCACTTTTTGGGGCATTGAAAATACGTGAAACCTAGTGGGTGCGCCAATTAAATGATAAAATGCACATCTTGTGATTCTTGCACAAGTTTCTAATCTATTTTGATATATACCTTCTCATATCATCAAACTAAAATTTGTTAAACCTTATAGTAAGTTTTTTTTATACACCGTAAGTGTAAAATTTTTTGCATACTAACAAATTTAGGTCATGCTTAATAATATGAATTTAGCTTTAAAATCTAAATCATGTAGATGTAGTGTACATCTATAGCTAGCTTTTAGTGTAAAAAAAAAAAAAAAATCATTGCACTGTCAGTGCGTAAAAAGTTAATTCTAAATGTTACTGAAATTTTGAGTGATAAAGTAAGTTAGAGTAGGAATAATGTAAAAATATTACAGATTTGGGGGAAAGAATCAAGCTACCAACTATGTTATTTCACACATAGGGTTCTTCCAGTATTCAATCCTTAATTGGGGTAAATGAATTCTTAGTATGTGTTGATCTCCTCCCACCTTTCTTATTTTAAAAAACAAAAACATTTAGACAAAAGAAAACCAAGTGCTACAATTTTTGTCAATATATATAATCGATCTTCCTCCTCCGGATCACGTGTATTTCATTGCTTTCAAGGCAATAATTAATGATATAGCTAATTCAAAAATACACTTTCAACCCTATCCTGCCAACCAAGAGAAAAGAAAACAAAAGTATTACTACTATTTACTACATTGATTTTTCTCAAAAAAAAAAAGAGAAAATAAATATTGAAGTCTCAGTCATGTATAATATCTCAATCCTCGTTATGTTGCTATTGTTGCAGTTATTGAAATTGCTAAAGTTTCCAATTATCTGAATTTTTAGAACTCTCAATTAGTCAATGTGCTTAATGGTGAATTAAGAGATTATGAAACGATTACTTTGAACAGTATAGGATTATTACCCCATAAACCTTTCAACCTTTCAACTTTATGGATTAATTTCAGGGATAATTTCAGAAACCTCCCCTGAGGTTTCTTATAATATCACTAGCTCTTCTGAGGTTTTTAAAATTACACTTACCTCTCTTGAATTGATATTTCTTGTAATATTTTAACCCATTTTGGAGGAAACACAAGAAAGATAAAACATTTATTCTAATACTACCCTTATATTTTCCTACTTATAAAATTTATAAGAAAGCAGCATTTCTTATACTTTATTGAAAGAAAAAAATGGAGAAAAGAAAAAATTGTTCCTTCGTGTCAAATTTTCTAGGATTGAATAGAGGATTGCAGGTTCTAATCATTTACTTTAGTTAAAGAATTTGTGGGCAAGTACAACGAAATTGTTTAGTCTTAGTAATCTGATTTTTCGCACAATAATTAGTGAACAATGGAATTTGAATACAAATGATAGCATGATTCGACGAACGGCAGTGATTTGGTTTCCAATTTTTTTTATGTATTTGAATACGTTTTCCAACTATAGGAAGCAAAATTTTAACTTTTGCCATTGCAAAACTATATGTTGACAAGCACAACCAATTTTAATGCTGTACTTTGTTGTGCCCTTCCCCTCCCTTCCCCCCCCCCCCCCCCCCCCCCTCTTTAAACCATTAAAGGTAGAGCTAAAAATTGAACCAAAAAGACCAAATCGAGTTCAACTCGCGTAGAGTTTGTTCAAATTTAGTTCACCAATTAATCAAATTAAACATGAACAAATATTTTGCATTCAAAAAAAATTTTATACTTGCCTTTGACTTGACTCAAGGAGCATAATATTTGAGATTTTTCCCAAAAATATTCAAGCTTTTAGCTCGATAGATAAACAAACCAGGTTTGAATATAATTCCAAATTCGTTAAAATTAACAAATAAGTTTGAACTCTAAAGCATTTGACTTGAGTAAATTCATTTATATCTCTAGTTAAAAAAATATGAAACTACTAAGATATTAAAAGATCATATCACATACACATTTTATACTTAATCCATCTGAATGTATGCTTAATTTACTTGACCAAAATTCTTTAGTTCATTTTTCGTTTAATATCCTTCTAGCGTTCAATCCTATACCTTAAATAAATAAATAAATAAATCTTCGTTAGGGTTGATTTTCTGCTTTTCTAGGTGTGCTGATTTACCTTCCGGACACCATGTGTTTCTCATTGATTTCAATCCAACACTGGCTTGATTTTTTTTTTTTTTTTTTAAAAAAGGAGATCCAAAATAATGACGTCCCTATTTCAAATTTGTCCTTTCAACCATGAGCAATGATGCCTGAGGCAACTTGTCTTGATTATTCCAAGAAATATAATTCTGTTTGACTTTCAAAATTTTTGAAAATTAATTATGTGTATTTCAATGTGGATAGTATACTTATCAAAAATCAGATTTTTGGAGCAGGGGTGTTTCGCGAATCGAGCCGCTCGCGAGCCGATCGCGAGCGGCTCGAATACGAGCTCGACTCGAGCTCGTCAATATCGAGTTCGAGTCGAGCTCGAGCTAATTAAGTCGATCTCGAGTTCGAGCTCGAGCTCAAAAACATTAAGCTCGTTGGCTCGCGAGCTCAATTATATATTTATTTTTTATTTTTTATTTTAATAGTAAAATTACATATATATCCCTAATATTTTATTATTTGTTAAAATATTATTGTTTTATTCATTTTTTAAAATAAATATTTATTTTTTATTTTTTAAAAATAAAATAATATTTATTATTTTTTTATTTTTTAAGCTCGAGCTTGATATTTTGAGCTCGTCGAGCTCGAGCTTCATAAAATTAACTCGAGCTCGGTTCGATTAGCCAAAACTGGACTCGACCTCGACTCGTTTGCACCCCTACTTTAGAGTAGCTACGAATTGTTTTCATCTAATTTCTTTGTGTCCAACTATAAATGGAGACATATTATAAAAAGATATGATTTATTTACAGAGCCCATGACTATTACCCAAATAAACCTGGTTATGCCTCCAACTTTGAACATTTACCTTTTTTCCTGTTTGGGCCAAATCTGAAATAATTGTTCTCTATGTGTTGATTAAACCATAGAAAAGAAAGAAATTGAACTGTTTTCTCAAAGTTCTTGAGAAAGTTATTTAATTTCTAAAACAATTTTAACAAACCTATACTCTATTTGAATACCGAGCCAAAGGAGGACTTTGAATTCATTCTAAAAGGAACACACTTCTCTACGAGAAAAAAAAAAGATAAAGAAAAATTTTTATAAGGAATAATCTGATGATTAGGTAGTGAAGGAAATTAAAACAAGTACTTCTTTTGATGATTATGTAGCATGGATTGATCCTTCCCAAACCTCTACCATTATATATATAGCGGATTAATCTTGTGCCGCCGTAAAACAACTATTTTCTAAAATGGGAGCTAAAATTTGATCAACGAGTAGAATTTTAACAATCTAGTCACCATAAAATTTTGTCGTCGTTAAAGACTTTTGGTTACGAAATTAAAATTTTTTTGCTACCAAAGTTTGCATGGCTAAATGTCAATCTTCCCGTAGTGAGTAAGCAATATCCAAAAAAGTACGTACAACGAGAATAATTCACAGGTAAATATTCCAAAAAAAGAAAAGAGAGAACGGTCAAACTCAAAGTTGACACTGGATAATGCGCGTTCTGGGGTTCATAGCTCTTCGGGACCAATCAGTGCATGACCGTGAGAAACGTGTCAACGTTTATAAGTGATATTTCTTTTGAAGGCCGCCGTGTGTTGACTGGCCCGTGCTATCAATAATGTAACATCTCAAGGAGAAAAACGTTTCAAACGAGAAACTCTTCTAGGTTCTTTTCCTTTAAATTTTACTCGTATCAAAAATACCAAAAAATTATTTTTAGGTTATTGGGAGGCACTTTCGTTCTCCGCCAACGGTTGGATAGTCAACGAAGCCATCCTTTTTTTTTTTGTCTTTTTTTTTTTTTTTTTTTTTATAAATACACAGCATCTACTGTAATAGCAACCAACCACCAGTCAAGGAATCCAAACTTGCATCAAGACTTTTGCATAGGTCTTCTTCAAGTCGACATATTTTACGGTTCAAATAATATACTACTGCAGAACCTGCTGAACAAAGGTTGAGAAATGAGTACATCCATCCTTTTGTGTTGTTCCACTCCAACTGGCCTTCGTAGGCGTGGAGGTTTCACACTGAATCGCCCTTTGGACTTGGCTATCTTAGCTCAGAAAAGGTCCCTCTTTTTTGCGGGTTGCCAGAGCTTGATTCATCCGAGCCATGGAGTGCAAACAATGAACAAGAGCAACAGGTATAGTAAAGGCATATACTCATTGATTGTTTCCGTTTCGAAAAATCCATGATCATTGATCAACATGAACACAAAATGCAATTTTATTAACAACTATATACATTTCTTTTTGTTTTGATTAGGAAATTCGCAGTATTCAACGGTGTTCTACCGGGTGTTCCTCTACCTTCAGAGCCCCCTCCTTCAGATTCCTGGTAAGTTCATTAAAATGATAATAGGAAACCTCCTGTTTGAAAAAACAATTTAATAGGAAACCTCCTGGGATCGATGTTCAAAGAACTAGATGCATTTTGAATTTTCTTCCGCTTTCTTGGTTGACTTACCGAATGCTGATGGTAGAATCATTTTTTCTTCCTGATGAACTGGCAGGAATGGATGGATTCTGGGGGCAGTATTAACATTCGTTTTGCCCTTCCTGGCTAACAAATGGGGGCCATTGTTGAAAATCAAAGGTAAGGCTCTTCTTCTAAGTTCTAAGTGGTTTATCTGTCTTCGTATTTCTTGTGTTATAAGTAACGGCTTGTACTTGGCTTCCTAAGCAATGAATCGCATTGAAATTTTGTCATCTACAGATGAAGTTGACACTGCAGTACAGACGGTGGAGAACGTAGTGGACGCTGTAGAAAAGGTGGCGGAGCAAGTGGAAAAGGTGGCGGAAGATATAGCCGAAGGCCTTCCAGCTGGAAAACTTAAAAATGCTGTTACCTTCATTGAAAATGTAGCTGATCAGATTGATGATACAGCAGAAGTGGTTGGTGATGCCATTGATAAGGTCAGCCTAATACACTTGATTAATTTACGTTTTAGTAGTGTTTTAGTACGTCAATGATAAAATTAGGTTTGGTCAAATCTCATTATCATCAAAGTTTGATCAGACTAATATAATTGAAATCTTAGTCTACTATTAAATTTAGTGCCATGCAACTTGCTCTTAGGCTGGCGGCTACAAAAATGACCCTACTTCTTGTTGTCTTAATCGTAAAATGCAAACACCTTTGGTTTACCTGCCCTGGAAGGAAAATGCCCCAGTCACGTAGGAATCTTGCTCCGCTGGATTATCTATTTTGGGCGTGTTTTTAAAAAATTTGACTGTAATAGAGTTTTTAGATTATATTTTGAGATATTTTCAAAAAATGTTTTGAAATATTAAAGAGTTGATGAGTTTCTAAAATATATATAGAGATATTTTTTAAAAATTTAAACTAGAGTACTTTTTAAAAATTGAAATTGTATTTGAAAAATTAATTTTTGAAAAACACTTCCAATTCTGTGTTATAAAAATTAGACAATTTACTTACTGTGTCGTGTTTGCGCGATTGAGGTTAAATTAAAAACTAATGTTGAAAAGTGGATGCAGGTTCAAGAAGTGGGAGACCAAATAGAATCAGCCCTTGATGGAGAAAAAGAAGCGATCCCTGAAAAAGCAAAGGAGCCTGCCAAAGAAGTGAAAGCTGAGGCTTGAACACTTAGAAAATACTTTTCCCTAGTGCAATTGTACAAGATTTGCTAGAAAGAAAACGTTATGTAGAAAGGTCAAAAGTTGAAAAGGTGCATTGAAAAGTATTCATTTTCTTGTTCTGCTTTCTTATCTACAGCTTTGGGGATTTGATTGATTAAGAAACTGTGCTTTGACGACAAAATTTGACGAATTTCATTTCTCCACGGGGGCACATCTTCTGTACTATTTTTTGTACTGCTCTCTATTTTACTTTTCATTATATTACTATCTTTCTTTTATAAATATCATATTTTAGTTTTTTTTTATTTTTTTAAGATTCAATAACTATTAACTAACTAAAACATAAACACAATAGTCTCAAAAAATAATATATAATAGAAAATTAAAAAACACAGCAAAAAATTCATAAAAAATGAGATTTTTTATGCATATTAATTTTTTGAGTTTGTTAAATTTTGTATATTCAGTTAATAGTTATTAGATTTTAAAGAAATAAAAAAGAAACAAAACATGATGTTTATAAAAAAAAAATAGTCATATAATAAAAAGTAGCACAGAATATGGGATAGAAAATCGAGCTAACAAAACAAATACTAAGGGAGTGCTTGTTTCACAGATTGAAATCGGAAATGGAAATGGAATCATAGACTCTGGTTTTGGAATTAAATTTTTCATTCCAATATCTAACTTGGTTCACACATTGGAATTAGCATCATGCCAATTCCTAATGCTTGGTTTGATGAGTATTTCAGAATTAAATACAATTAAATTTTCAATTTACCCCTGATATAACAATTCTTATAAAACAAAAGAATTACACATACGACAAATTAACATCTCCATAATTGTAACTACAATAGTTATTAACTTTTTTATAAAATATAAGAAAATCATAAACCATAAAAAAAATTAATAACAGAAAATAAATATAGTTGCTGCATTAACAAGGAGTAAATTCCCAAAAGAGGGAGTTTTTAAACTAATTTCTCAAAGGGTGGCGATTTTTGAGTCTCTTCCCAAAGGGTGAAAAATGCATCCAAGAAATGCGTTCTTCCAAATAAAAACGCAACTTTCAAATACATTATTTTAATTTTCATAAATTTGTTTAAATATGAAAAATTGGTTAATTAGTGCATAACATACCAGCTCTTTATGGGAAACTGTCAGATTTTGTAATATGTTTTGTAACAACTCTTTATGAGAAATATACCAACTCTTTATGGGAAAAATTGGTTAAATAGCGCCCAAAGGAAAAGTAGTATGTTTTGTATTTAACATAAACTAAATATGTGAAAGTTAAAAAAAAAAAAATTTGCTCATAACATATCAACTCTTTATGGGAAACTGGCAGGTTTTGTATTTATTGCCCATAACTATGAAATTGAAAGGTATTCAGGCAAATAATTTTACAAATAGGTACAAGGTAACTAGAAGCCCACCCAAACTATACCAGTATTCACGGATCAAATAACCAAAAGATCAAGAATCGATTGACCCTTTGTTTCTGAGCTTCCATTGAATGCATAATTCAAGAAAACACAGTGAGTAGTGTGAGTGGAATAAAAGTGAGAAGGTGATGGGTCCAGAGCATAGCATTTTGGTCCAGTTAGTGTTATTGTATCAGATTCCCTTCTTTTCTTTTTTATTTTTAGCTAGCCAGTGAGTAGCCTAAAAAAATAGAGAAGAAGAAAGAAAAAAGCTTGCATACGGAGAAGAAAATTGCAGAGGCAACGGAGAAGAAAATTACAGAGACAACGGAGAAGAAGTTTTGGATAAGAGATGAAGAAGAAGAGATAGAAAATCTGATGAAAAAGATGAACAGAAGGTGCGGCGAGTGATGGAGGGAAAGAGATGGTAGGTCCGTTATAAATAATTAAATATTGTCTGAGGGAATCAGTTAAGGGTTTTGTCCAAAACCTCCTAATTTGCTCCGGAATAGGATAAGTCCGATTTTTTAGAAATGATTCCAAAATTTGCATTCCAATAGATTTAACCCAAGCAACAAATAAGGAGTTCATTCCTTTCTATAATTCTCAAACCCTTTAACCACGCAGCCCCTAAGTATCAATGGGAAACAAAAAAAAGGCAAACTCAAAATGAGCATTTTCCAATGAAAAAGAGGCTGCTTTCAAAGAAGCATAGAAACAAAAAGTGACCCATATGTGTGATTCACAAAAGAGAACAATAAGTCAACAAAAAATTAGGGTCAAAAAACAATAAAATTACAAAGCAACCAAGCAAATATAACATACATGTTGAATGAAGGGAAAAATGAATGGCATAACTGGAAAATAAAACAAACACTCAAGGCTAAACTAATACTCATGAATAGCTGAGGTTGCCCATCTCTACGGATCACAAGGGGCAACAATGATGCAAACAGAAGAGAAACAAAGAACAAATAAATTACAAAGGAACCACACAAGTAGAGCATGCATCTTCTAGCATCCTAACAGCAAATGGTACTATCGAAAAATGAAGAAATACTAAGGTTAATGCTAATCAGATGAGCAATTGGCAAGGGACTGATGCAAATGGACCGTAATAGCCCAAACATATCAACCAATACCAAAACACTCTTTTACTGATCATTCAGCCAACCCTCCCTTTTAGATACAGATACAGAGTTTTTTGCCAAAATAACACTCTTGCTAAAAAATATTTTCAATGTGATTCACTTTCAAATTTTATTCCCATAATAATGTTATTATTGTCATCTAACTATCCTTATTGTCATGTAGGATAACGAAAAATGAAAGTTCTACTGTAGTTTATAGTTTTTAACATGAACTAAAAATTTAAATTTTTTTCTTATAGAGGCACAAAAAGATTACATAACTTTTATAATTTCCTTATAATTATTTAAAATAAATTCTACCATTATTGACCTTGCTATTATTGATCTCTAAGTTTTTTTAAATGTATCAAACCTATTGTATATATTTTTTCAAAAAATAAATTTTAAAAATACAAACATTGCAACAAAAATTGTAAGCAATTACAAAAACTTTAAGTCTATTATATTTGTTTATATCCTTCCTACTCCTTGAAAAGACAAAAGAATAATCTTCATTTACCTGGACATTATTGACTCGAGAAGCGTATTTTGTAGATGTTGTTAACATAAATATTGATTTTTTAGAATTACGTTTGACAAAAGAAAGATAACGAAAGAAAAAAAAATACATAAAGGTTTAGAGAAAAAGTTGAAGAAGATATTAGATGGGAAAAAGAAATGGAGGGTGTCTTTATCTTCATCATGGCACATATGTAGCCTAAGTAGCAAAAAAAAGATCATAAAAGTAATGAATTTTAAATTTAGATTACTTTATGTATATGTTTTGGGAGAAGAGTTATTTTGGCAATAAACTCGCAAGACATATGCGTGCGTATGTATATGAAGTAGGCCTCGAGCTGCTCACTCGCTCTGATATGAAAGTCAGCCCAAGCCCAATAGTTCTCCGTGAATCAATAAAGCAACCTTCTCCTACTCTGGACATTCTGAGCGACCCACTGGACGGGACTAAGTCTGTCCTTTCTTGGGCCAGAATATAGGAGCTGATTCATGGACCGAGCCTGTGGAGAAGACATATTCATGCATTGTTTGACGAAAATATATTCCTATATTTCAATAATTGCGAGAAATGCAACATAATTATTTAAATATTTTTGTGCACTTTTTGGGGCATTGAAAATATGTGAAACCTAGTGGGTGCGCCAATTAAATGATAAAATGCACATCTTGTGATTCTTGCACAAGTTTCTAATCTATTTTGATATATACCTTCTCATATCATCAAACTAAAATTTGTTCAACGTTATAGTAAGTTTTTTTTATACACCGGAAGTGTAAAATTTTTTGCATACTAACAAATTTAGGTCATGCTTAATAATATGAATTTAGCTTTAAAATCTAAATCATGTAGATGTAGTGTACATCTATAGCTAGCTTTTAGTGTAAAAAAAAAAAAAAAAATCATTGCACTGTCAGTGCGTAAAAAGTTAATTCTAATTGTTACTGAAATAAATATTGAAGTCTCAATCATGTATAATATCTCAATCCTCGTTATGTTGCCATTGTTGCAGTTATTGAAATTCCTAAAGTTTCCAATTATCTGAATTTTTAGAACTCTCAATTAGTCAATGTGCTTAATGGTGAATTAAGAGATTATGAAACGATTACTTTGAAGAGTATAGGATTATTACCCCATAAACCTTTAAACCTTTCAACTTTATGGATTAATTTCATCTGTTGGGATAAGTACGAGACACTTATGAAGTTTATCTATGATCAGAAGAAAAAGTAAAAAGTTGAAAGAAAATAAATTATTATGAACTATGAAGTCTGCAAATGAATAGTACCCCTCATCATGAAACAAATCAGACAATGTAGCACGGATTGAATTCTTGATCCGTCTGTGTCTTCTACATTTCTACTTCTAGAAAATTCGAGAAATTCTTTAATCTTCCACCCTCCATCATCCTTTTCTGGAAAAAGAAATATGCTAATCCAAGATTAACAACTGATTTTTGATAATTAGCAGGTGAAGAACGTGAAGTAAAAATCTCTTTGACAGGGAGAAGATAAATCTATAAGACAAATTTAAGTTGCAAATAGCCAAGGGAAGAATATTCAAAGTTACTATTCATGAAGCTGATGCGTGCAAACGTTTTCTATGGAAACACGTTTCCGTCTTTGTTTTAGAACAAGTCAAAAACGTCGATGGTAGAAACGATTATAAGACACGCTAAATGAATGGAAAATATTTAAGTACGTCGAACAATTGGTTTCCTCAACTATTGGACCAAATTTCCTTTGTTTCGTTTTAACATTCCTCCAATAAGAACAAGCTCATCTCCTTGACAAGTTAACACAAAAATTGCGATTCAAGAAATCCAATTCTTGCATACAAATAAGTCACTCGCTACTCCAATTCTAACTGAATCCCTGGTTGAGAAATGAGTGGATCCTTCTTTTTGGGCAGTTTAAATTCGAGAGGGCTTATTACCAAGCCCTCCAGTTGTGATGAATATACTAGGCGTCGAGGCCTCTTTTTAAATCCTGGCTCCAATTTGGGTATCTTAGCACCCCAAAAAAATCCCATGTATTTTCTTGGTCACCAAAGCCTGATTCATCTCAGCCATGAAGTGCAAAGAAAGAATGAGAGGCAGAGGTACTTGGTCGGATTTTATTTTTGAGTACTTAGTCGGATTCAGATTTCGAAGGAGTCACGATCACCCGACCGTCGGCACAAATGTTTCAGTAGCAACCTCTCTAATTCTACACTCTTTGTATGTTAGGAATTTTGCAGTGTACAACAGTGTTCAACCAGGAGTTCCTCCACCTTCTGGACCACCTTCTTCAGATCCTTTGTAAGTTCATTAAAATCCCACCTCTAGGATGCGCTTCTTCTTTTGGGATAATCGTAGTAGTTTTTGATGCGCTTCTTCTTTTGTTCCATTTTATTCATTTCTGGTAATGGAAATCTATCTGCTGATGACCTAACAGGAAAGGCTGGATTATCGGAATCGTATTAACCGTGGTTATACCTTTCTTGGTGCAAAAATGCGGGAAAACATTTTTGAGACTTGAAAGTGAGACCTCGATCCAAAGTCGGCTTCCATTAAAATTTCTCTTAAGCCTTGTAATTTTCTTTTGCTTTTTTTTTTTTTTTTTTTGGATTTGTAACTTTTACTTACATTTCTATCTAAATCTTTTGAATTTTTTGGCACCTACTAGATAAAGTTGTCGCAGTTGTAGAGAAGGTGGAGGATGCAGTGGAAGGAATCGAAAAGGTAGCGGAGAAAGTTGAAAAAGTAGCGGAAAATGTAGCCGATCATCTTCCAGAAGGAGAACTCAAAAATGCTGCAATCTTCGTTGAAAAGGTAGCAGCTCGGGTTGATGATACAGCAGAAGTCGTTGAAAAAACCATCGACAAGGTTAACCTAATACACTTGATTGCTTAACTTTTTCCTATTGGTTTACAGCATCCAAACTCCCAAGTAGCTGGTCAATGCTATTCATTGTTTCTTTTTCTGTGTCTGACAAAGCCCTTGATCAGATAAATAATTGCATCCTTATTCTAGTTTTAGTTGTAGGGAAAATTTATCCTTGGTTTGGCGGCTATAGACAAAATTACTCCATTGCTCGTCTTAGCCGTAGAAATGCAAGTTTTTGCTGTCGAGGCTAAGAAGTAATGTTGAAATGTGACCGCAGGTTGAAGAAGTGGAAGAAGAGGCAGAATCAGCGGTTGAAGCAGCACTTGACAAAAAAGATGCAGTCCCTGATGAAGCAAAGGAGACTGCCAAAGAGCTAAAGAAGTGAAAGTTGTAGGCTTGAACACTTAATTAATTAACCGACAAATTACTTTTTCAGTTGGTTAACAAATGACGCAAGTATAAAAGTTTGCCTGTAATTTTTGATGGATAGAATGGAGCTAGCTATTACTACATTAGAATTTGTATATTGTAGAGATTAGTTTATAAAGCTTATTCAACTACGGTTTTAGAAGAGCATGGCAGAATAGAACACAACTGTTAGGTGCAAGAATGTTTGATCGATATTTCGATAATGCACAGCTGCCAAGAAAGCAGCATTTCTTATACTTGATTGAACGAAAAAAATGGAGAAAAGAAAAAATTGATCCTCCGTGTCAATTTTTCTAGGATTTAATAGAGGATTGCAGGTTCTAATCATTTACTTTAGTTAAAGAATTTTGGGGGGGGGGGGGGGGGGCAAGTAACAACGAAATTGTTTAGCCTTAGTAATCTGATTTTTCGCACAATAATTAGTGAACAATGGAATTTGAATACAAATGACAACGCGATTCGACGATCGAGCGGCAGTGATTTGGTTTCCAATACGAGAAAGGTTCAATTTTTTTATGTACGTTTTCCAATTATAGGAAGCAAAATTTTATCTTTTTTCATTGCAAAACTATATGTTGACAAGCACCACGAGTTTTAATGCTGTACTTTGTTGAGGTAGAGCTAAAAATTGAACCAAACTATTTCAGATCAAATCTGAAATAATTGTTCGCTATTTGTTGATTAAAGCATAGAAAAGAAATTTTCTCAAAGTTCTTGAAAAAGTTATTTAATTTCTAAAACAATTTTAACAAACCTATACTCTATTTGAATACCGAGCCAAAGGAGAACTTTGAATTCATTCTAAAAGGAACAAACTTCTCTACGAGAAAAAAAAAAAGATAAAGAAAAAATTTTATAAGGAATAATCTGATGATTAGGTAGTGAAGGAAATTAAAACAAGTACTTCTTTTGATGATTATGTAGCATGGATTGATCCTTCCCAAACCTCTACCATTATATATATAGCGGATTAATTAATCTTGTGCCGTAAAACAACTATTTCCTAAAACGGGAGCTAAAATTTAATCAACGAGTAGAATTTTAACAATCCAGTCACCATAAAATTTTGTCGTCGTTAAAGACTTTTGGCTACAAAATTAAAAAATTTTTGCTACCAAAGTTTGGATTGCTAAATGTCAATCTTCTCGCAGTGAGTAAGCAATATTCGAAAAGGTGCCGCGAGAATAATTCAAAGGTAAATATTCCAAAAAAAAAAAAAGAAAAGGAGAAAAAAGAGAGAACGGTCACAATTGATAATGGATGATGCTCATTCTGGGATTCGTTGCTCTTCGGGACCAATCAGTTTATAATATTCATTGCTCTTCGGTCGCAATTGTCAACGTTTATAATATTCTTTTGAAGGCCACCGTTTATTGACTGGCCCGTGCTATCAATAATGTAACATCCCCAGAAGAAAAACGTTTCAAAAGCGCAACGGATCTTCTGTCCCACATTCTATGCCACTCTCTGTCCCATTTTTTATTATATTGCTATTTCTCATTCATAAACATCATGTTTTAGTTCTTTTTTGCTTCCTTATGATCTAATAACTATTAATTAAGTAAAAAATAAATATAACACCTTCAAAAAAGCAATATATAATAGAAAATTAAAAAATACAGCAAAAAATTCATAAAAAATCTCATTTTTTATGCATTTTGATTTTTTGAGTTTGTTAAATTTTGTGTATTACTCAATTAATAGTTATTGGATCATAAGGAAGCAAAAAAGAACTAAAACATGATGTTTATGAATGAGAAATAGCAATATAATAAAAAGTGGGACAGAGAGTGGCACATGGTGTGAGACAGAAGATCCGTTGCGTTTCAAAAGGTTCCTTTCCTTTAAATTTTACTCGTATCAAAAATACCAAAAAATTATTTTTAGGTTATTGGGAGGTACTTTCGTTCTCCGCCGACCGTTGGATAGTCAACGAAGCCATCCATGTTTTGTTTTCCTTTTTAAGGTCGTTTGTTTTATAAATACACAGCATCTATTGTAATAGCAACCAAACCACCAGTCAAGGAATCCAAACTTGCATCAAGATTTTTGCATAGGTCTTCTTCAAGTCGACATATTTTACGGTTCAAATAATATACTACTGCAGAACCTGCTGAACAAAGGTTGAGAAATGAGTACATCCATCCTTTTGTGTTGTTCCACACCAACTGGCCTTCGTAGGCGTGGAGGTTTCACACTGAATCGCCCTTTGGACTTGGCTATCTTAGCTCAGAAAAGGTCCCTCTTTTTTGCGGGTTGCCAGAGCTTGATTCATCCGAGCCATGGAGTGCAAATAATGAACAAGAGCAACAGGTATATATATATATACTCATTGATTGTTTCCGTTTCGAAAAATCCATGATCATTGATCAACATGAACACAAAATGCAATTTTACTAACAACTATATACATTTCTTTTTGTTTTGATTAGGAAATTCGCAGTATTCAACAGTGTTCAACCTTCAGGACCCCCTTCTTCAGGTTCCTGGTAAGTTCATTAAAATGATAAAATCCAACCTCTAGTCGGAAACCTCCTGTTTGAAAAAACAATTTAATAGGAAACTTCCTGGGATCGATGTTCAAAGAACTAGATGCATTTTGAATTTTCTTCCGCTTTCTTGGTTGACTTACCGAATGCTGATGGTAGAATCATTTTTGCCTGATGAACTGGCAGGAATGGATGGATTCTGGGGGCAGTTTTAACATTCGTTTTGCCCTTCTTGACTAACAAATGGGGGCCATTGTTGAAAATCAAAAGTAAGGCTCTTCTTCTAAGTTCTAAGTGGTTTATCTGTCTTGGTATTTCTTGTCTTACAAGTAACGGCTCGTACTTGGCTTCCTAAGCAATTAATCGCATTGAAATTTTGTCACCTACAGATGAAGTTGACACTGCAGTACAGACGGTGGAGAACGTAGTGGACGCTGTAGAAAAGGTGGCGGAGCAAGTGGAAAAGGTGGCGGAAGATATAGCCGAAGGCCTTCCAGCTGGAAAACTTAAAAATTTTGTTACCTTCATTGAAAATGTAGCTGATCAGATTGATGATACAGCAGAAGTGGTTGGTGATGCCATTGATAAGGTCAGCCTAATATACTTGATTAATTTACGTTTCAGTATTGTTTTAGTACGTTAATGATACAATTAGGTTTGATCAAATCTCATTATCATCAAAGTTTGATCAGACTAATATAATTGAAATCTTAGTCTACTATTAAATTCAGTGCCATGCAACTTGTTCTTAGGCTGGCGGCTACAAAAATTACCCTACTTCTTGTTGTCTGAATCGTAAAATGCAAACATCTTTGGTTTACCTGCCCCAGAAGGAAAATGCCCAGAAAGATGCTATTATAAAAATTAGACAATGTACCTACTGTGTCGTGTTTGCGATTGAGGTCAAATTAAAAACTAATGTTGAAAAGTGAATGCAGGTTCAAGAAGTTGAAGAACAGGTGGAATCAGCTGTTGAATCAGCTCTTGATGGAGAAAAAGAAGCGATCCCTGATGAAGCAAAGGAGCCTGCCAGAGAAGTGAAAGCTGAGACTTGAACGCTTAGAAAGAAATGACACATGCACCAAATTAATTAATTAATTAGCCTGTAAATGTCGACGGAAATAGTTCATGAATTACTATCAAAATTTGTTTATTGTTTGCAACAGGGGTTTCGTCCTTGTCAACCCTATTGATTATGCACATTTTCAAATGTTAAGTACGTATAATATATTCCCTAGTGTAATTGCACAAGATTTGCTAGAAAGGAGAACAATTGTTCATGAATAATTTTCTTCAATCAAAATCACTTGCTATACTTGCTGTTGTAACTTTTTAGTCTTGATATTGCAAATATGAGGTCGAGATGATCATATTTTCAACTGCCTTGGATCCCTTTAAGAACAAAAAGGATAACACGTAATGCCCACAATTTTAAGACAATCAAAAAATATATATATATAACTTATTCCAATAGAACTAGAGACCTTTAACTAATCGGGAAAAAAAAAAAAATTGGTTAGTTGGTCCGTCAAACTTTCCATGTGGAGTTGTTCTGATGCCCAAACAATTCAACGCGTTCTCCCAATGTCCAACTCCAACTTCATTGAGCAACTCCAATAACTTTATAGTTTTTCTAAAGGCCAATTTTGGTGCAATATTCTATGGAGGCGGCTGCTCTGGAGTGGAAGTTGTTGCGAGGGATGAATGTGATAATTATTTTATTATTGCTGGTATTTCTCACAACATTTTAAGTATCTTTGCTCCTGAAGTAATTGAAGCATATGCTTCAAAATTAGCAGTCACTTTATCACTTGCAAGTTCCTAAGGTTGTTGTTTTAGAGGGAGACTTTGAAAATCATCAATATGCTTAAAAACCGATGATTCAGCCTATGGAATTCTGCTAGATGATATCTTTGTTATTTTACAGAATTTGGCCATTTGCGAAGCTAATTGGGTTTCTAGATGATGTCAAGTTTCGCTTCTGGATGAGTCAACGAGTGTTGACTGCGCACACCCTCAGGCCAAAACAATGAAGGTGCTGATTGGGTTGAGATTGAAAGGCCTCAGGCTCAAGCAAACAAGCTTGGAATAAAAAAAGAAAATACTAAAACGAAAACATTATGTAGAAAGGTCAAAAGTTAAAAGGTACATTGAAAAGTATCATTTTCTTGTTCTACTTTCTCATCTATACCTTTGGAGATTGATTGATTAAGAAACTGTGCTTCGACGATAAAATTAGGCGACTTTCATTTCTCCACGTGGGCGAGCAAACGCACGACGGATTCTGTTTCATTTTCTGTGTCACTCTCTATTTTATTTTTTATTATATTACTATCTCTCATTCATAAATATCATATTTTAGTTCTTTTTTATTTTTTTAAAATTCAATAACTATTAACTAAGTAATAAATAAATACAATAGTTTCAAAAAAATAATATATAATAGAATATTAAAAAATACAGGAGAAAATTCATAAAAAAACTCATTTTTTACGCATTTTGATTTTTTGAGTTTGTTAAATTTTGTGTATTACTCAGTTAATAGTTATTGAATTTGAAGGAAATAAAAAAGAAATAAAATATGATGCTTAT